GTGTTTGGACGTTATACATATATAACATGTATGTATAACATTGTTTATATTTGCAAATGAAATTTTACAAAAGAGGATATTTTATCTGCATTATTCGTGTACGCATTTAATGCTTTTATATATATTTCCTGTATAATGTTTATTTATACTTATATATAACATTTATTAATTGACAAAAATTATACAAATAAAGGCATTTTATAGTATCGTGTGCTGCTGAATAATAAATAAACAAGATTTTATAACATGATGAAACGTAACAATAATAAAATACAATAATAAAATTTGTAAATGACTTGTTGTGACTTACGATATATTTAACATTATTAACGCAGATAATAATGATACAAACATAAAGTAATTATTAATTAATTCCTATATAATTTCTCTACATAGTCCATCTTCTCTCCAATATTATATGGTACCTCTTTATTTCATTTCCACATTTATATTTGGTCATTGAACTCCAATCCTTTCTTTTCATCTTTCCATATAAATAGTTTGATAATTCTTTAGTAATTATATTTTTGTATATATTATTATATTTGGATTTATTTCGCGCGCCCAAATCATGTTTAATAAAAAATCAATATATAAATTGTGGAGAAAGTGGAGTAAAAATATTCCAGATATTCTGCGATTTGTACATATCACGTGTCGGATGGCGGTCAGTAAAGTCGCGATGGGGTCAGTGGGACAAAGTCACAATAGTTATCGTCTACTTGCTGCTCAATACAAAGGTTGGACGGTGAAAGCAATGTAACGAGAACAAGGTAGGACATATAGGGTGAGAGAAAGTACGAAGATTGACCGGGAAAGCGAAGGCAGGCGAACGAGGGGAGACTCTCGAGAATTCTCGATCGAGTTTTCCGCTGTCAGAACCGGGTGGTGGTGCGTCGTGAAATGCTGAATAGGACAGCCGAGACAATGGGAATAGTACGTGGGACAATTACACGCCGAGTTTTCCAAGTAATTAAGTCGTCGGCCCGCCGTTGTGCGAAAGCAGTTTTCGTTCGTGCATTCGTCTAGCGCATCTTCAAATCCTTGTAATACTGGGAAGATGGGTTGGTAATCAACTACAGTTCTCGCTTCTTAGAATAAAGATAAGAAAGTTCTTTCGCAAAAGTCATGCGTTAATACAAATAAAGAAGTCATTATTTACATCGTAGATAGCAATGTAAATAAACCGATAGACTAAATTTTTTCGACATCGCAGATAGACTGTACTTAATAAGCTTACGGGTGAGTGCATTATCTTGAAATAAATTATTTTAATTGCTTTAATTCAAGAAAGAAAATAACGTTCCGAATGAATTTTACATACAATAATTCAAATTTGAAAAATCACATTTATAGAGGAGAAGGTGGTATTATGGTGTATATATATAGATTTACAGATATTGTGGTTCCCCTTAATATATCCGCTATTATATAGCGAATCCTAATGATTATTTATAAAATTATTTGTTTAGTAGCTCGCTATTACATTACGTACACCATAACTCTAATATGCCAATAGTCAACACTTATTCTAACGTATTTTTATTTTCAAGTATTTCGAAACGTTTTTAAGATACATTTTAGCATTTAATTACACCTATTTTCTTTACTTAAATTTTTCTTGAACTTGAGTGAATCATCACACGAATATATTTATATTTCAGTGTATTATTTGCTATTTAACATTTTATTTGACTGTATATATTTTGAGTTATGCAAATTTAAACAATAGCACAGCATTTTGATAATGTGGCCCTCTATGCATATTACTCACGGTCTCTTTTTTTGAGACTTTCATATCAAAATAATTATTTGATAATCGATTGTAGCTCTGTTGTTAAGGGGATGCTGGAGTCTTCTTTTTTACCGATAAAGCAAGCGTTTATGTTCCTTGCGCGGTTCTTCGAATTAGTTGCACAGAATAAAAATTCCTTCTCCACGATTGAAATATCCGTGCTAATGTACCTGCTCCTGGTGTATTTTGTGTCCAAAACTGGGAAAAATAATAAATTACAGATTCCTGTATCCATGTGCTATCAGCTCACCAAACATTTACTTCGTGAAAAAATTGTATGCACATTATATGCTTGAAATTAAGGCAGGAGCACATGTAGAATAAATAGACGATTACAGTCGTATCTTTAGATTTAAGTTTTGACGCCTAAATAAAATGATTAGCGCAAGGAACGAAATTGTGTGTCTAGCGCGTGAGAAATCGACGCTGTATGACTGTTTAGCCATGAAACCGAGCAGTATTTTAGTTGATCTCTTTCTAAGAGATGGCGTTGCAATATGTTAGATAAGGACAGATGAATGCGTTTGAGTGAGACACAACGATATATAATAAGTATAAGAAATGAATGAAAGATGTCACTATTGTCGAATTTGGAATTTAAAAAAGTCTGTACTATCGATCTTGATTAACTTCGATCGTCACTCCAGCATCCCCTTAATTTATTGTTTATATTACTCGTACTATTTGTAATACTGAAATTTTTAGCACTGAGCAGCTTATACGAGGGTCGTTTGAAAAGTTTTGAGCTTCAACATGAAGATGGTATTACTGGCATTACTCATCAAAACCATTTAAAAGATACTTGCGGAAATTGTAGCCATTTTGGACGCTCAGTTGTTTGAGAATCATTTGTGCCAGTCGATGTAAGTATTTTCGTTTGATGAAAATCTGTATCCTCCGAACCTAATTTTGAGCCTAGGAAACAGGAAAAAGTCATTGGGGATCAGATCTGGCGAATACGATGGGTAGTTAATTAATTCAAACCGCAATTCGTAAATTTTTGTTATGGCGATAGTCGAGATTCGATTTTTTCTATTTTTACAAAAACACTGACATCGACTGGCACAAACAACAACTGAACATCACAATGGCTACAATTTTCACAGGTATCTTGCAAAACATGTACGATTGTAATACCAGAATAGTTTTGACGAGTAATGCCATCTTCATGTTGAGTTTCAAAATTTTTCGAAACGACTCTCGTATATGCAGAAGAAATTATGTATACATATATACATTTATTTGCATACATTCTGTTTCATGTTTTACTTTTATGTTAATTTTGTAACCAAACACTTTTTTTTAAACAAAGTCAATTTTTTGAATCTATTTTTGTAGGAGGCCACATTACCATACTTGTTTCTCTTCGAGTTATTAATATAGTGTCGCCACATTTTAAAAATAATGTCCTATGTAATAAATGTTTCGTAACTTTGAGTTTAAAATCGATTGAACAACACTTTGAAGAATACACTTTGAGGGATTGTTACGTTTTAAATTTTGATTATTAATCAAGTTATTGTATAAAATGTAAATAGAGAGTCATAGTAATACCACTATCTCCTCTAATAATTAACATTGGGAAAATTCACGTTTAAAAAATCGCAATAAGATTGCATTAACTACCCACGGTTCACGTATAATTGTAACAGACCATCAACTTGCATGACGAGAGCGTGAGCGATTGATCACAATTTTAATTTTTATATGACGTGCCACGTCATAATTAAGATTCTTGTTTAAAAAGATATTGTGAGCAATTAGTTTAATTGTAACAATTTACCGAACATTATTAAGTTGTAATTTAATTATTTAAAGTTACTGAGGATGATCTAATAAAAGATCGAAACGTTTAACATTATGTTTATTTTATTTTATTATTAAAGACATTGTTTTTTAAAAATTTATGTTTTTCACATTGATATCCAGTATAAGCTTATAGCTAATTATTTTAGTTGTATATGAGACGTTCTTAGTTGTTATAAACACAATAATTTAATTTCCCATTCTAATAAATTCGATTTGAATCGCCGAATACTCGAATCTGTGCGCTCTTTATGGGAAATAAAAAAAACTATGTGGCAGAAGATTGAAGGGAGGAGCAGAAAGGTCAGACTGATTCACTTGGGCCATCTCGCCGATGGCGAAATAGCATTTAGGGTAAAAGCGTATTCGGGGAGCGGTCGGATTGAGCGGCCGTCGAGCTTACGCCGACAAAGTAGATACAACGTACACGTTTTGCATGTCCGAAATTTCCCGACTGATTGAACAAGAGTTGTGTTCTGCCTGCGTCGTCTCGACTCTAATTGCTGAATATGCTGTTTTAAAAGTTGTAACGATGATGTATCTACGTGAGTTCTTGCTTTTTCTGATCAACTGATTTTTAATCGTTAGCATATAATGAATAGAAAAAAACATGTGATCTCAAAGGCAATAAATCAAATGGGGAATACCATCCGGGAAATAAAGAATTATTACAAATGAGTCATCTAACGAGTTGCTGCAGATAACTGAGTGTTAAAATAGACAACAGATTTATACAGGGATTTACACAGATTGCAAATTTTTTTCAGCTAATAATTGCTATTTCTGAAACTCATTCAGTAATGAATCTAATTGTAAAATAATTTTCCAATTGTACTTAGAAACTACAAAAAAAGGTAAAATAAAGATAATAACGTATATAAAAAAGGCGATTTTTTGTCGTAGGATATAAAAATTTAGCTAGATACAGATCTAATTATAATTTTGTTGATCATCAAAAAATAATTATATAGGACATTCAAACTAATTGTTAGAATGTCAAAACTTTTTGCAGCATTGCTCCTCATGCTCGAGATTCTTATGTAATTATTGTGATGATCTAATAAAATTATTTTCGGATCTCTCTATATCTAGCTAAATTTTTATACCCTATAGCGAAGTCATTCTTCTCATGTAGCGGATAAAAATAAACAGTAATTACATGCTATCAAGAAGAAGTTCCATTAATATTTTCTCACACTATGTTGAAATTCTGGGTAATGTTGTTAATGATAATGAATGTAGTTTTTATGTGTATATATACGTAACCGCATGAAGATCTGTGTTGACGCAATAGAATTAGAGAGAGACGATAGATATTATTTTTTAAAACAACTGCTGACAAGGTCTGCTAATAAACAGGTGGGTATAAAAGCGCAGTACGTTTCGCCGGTAAGATCAGTTGATGAAATAGAGTGTAAGAATTATTAACCATGTCTCGCGCTAGTTTCGTATTGTTTGTGATGATTGGAGTGTTTTGCAGTAAGTTTTCGCATGAATTCATTGAGTTTCCTCAATCCACGACTAATTCGATTTTTCATAAACAATTATTGTATCTTAATTCCCTTTTGTAATTGTGTAACTTTAGTTATAATTGAACTTGACTTGTGTAACACTGTATATGCACAGGCACGACTATCGCACAGCAGCAGTGCGGGCTAAATCAAGAGTGGAACACTTGTGGATCGGCATGTCCACCATCTTGTAACTCGCCACCTAATCAATTCTGCACATTAGTATGTATTATTTAATTGTACTAAATACGCTAATTCCATTAAAAGTTTTACTTCTTTTCAAGCGATTAACTGTAGAATATTATCCTAATCATATATGTACATTGCAATAAAATTTCGATATTTTACAATACTATTCTTTTTTTAGCAATGCGTGATAGGATGCCATTGTAAAAGTGGATATCTGCTAAATTCCTCAGGAGAATGTGTGCGCCGTTCAGAATGTTAGAAATTAATTGTATCAATTGTATATACTTACTCTAAAGAGTTGACAACCTCTGTTTAACGCCAATGAGATTTTTACTAAACATTTTTAACTAAAAATCGATATGCCAATAAGTATTAACATGTATTAGATGCAATACGACATAATTATTGTTGCTTGTTATAATTACTAATTAATGATAAACAAATAACAAATTAAGATTTTATTATAAATATTTATCTCTTTATTAATATTAGATATCTATATTTTTAGAAATTTAAAATAACTAAAAATAAAAATTGCATGATAATAATCTTTTTAAATATAAATAGTAAATAATTAAGTTGCATGCGTGTATCTTATGAATTATCTTTACAAAAAAAACACAATAAATTGTTTTTTACAGATAATTAATAATATTATGTAAATGTTATATAAGTGAGTACAAATAGTAAATAAACTCTGTAAATCAGTCTCGAATAAAACTATTTTTACACATCCAGTATAAAAACCATGCGAGAAGTCAATATGATAAAACTTTTTGTGAGAATACTCAATACTTTATTTTTATACTCACTTTTTTGTAATAATATTTTGCACTAATGAATTTTTGAATGTTAAAGTTAGGCATTTTCGCAAAACAGTAAATAAAAAATGTTAAAGAATCAATCATTTGTTTGATCAAAATGTCTGAATCCGTAAGACATGTTATATTTTGTAAACTTGTTAATTTTATTATATGCATTATATATGTTTTAGAATTACTAATTTCTCATAATGATGTTCTATTTTTTCATTTCTTCCTTTATTTTTTTCGGAGAAATGTATTTCGAGATAAATGCACAAACATGATGATAGAGTAAAAATACCCAGGAAATACGTAGATATGATTTATTGTAATATGACAATTGTGTGAAGTTTAAATAAGAAAATACATCTCAAATATGATTCAGGACTTTGAATTTTTTCCTTATGCTATATATGCAAAAAATAATCATTTGTGTATATATGTTTAATACAATATATTAAAAATAATTTACTATATGTAGTGTGTGTGTGTACTTAATATTTCTAAAAATATTCCAATAATCTTCCGAAACTATTGAGAGAGAATAGTGTATAGAATAAATCTTGGTGTTCTATTAAGTGCTACAACGGTTCGTATCAAAATTAATTATAGTACAAAAGCCGGAAGTATCGATTCAAAGTATGGAGCAAAGTATAGCATCGAAATTACATCAACATGTCTTGCTGTTTTTTTCCTTATTACGCAATATATAAAAAATTGCATTATTTATGTTGTATATAATGTCTTGTGTATATAATGAAATCATAATAATCTATATATTTTCAACTTTGTAAAACTTATTTGTAGAAAGATTATACGAAAATTTTATAATACAAATTTTAGAATGGTTTTTTTTTATTTGGAGAGTAAAGGAAAGAATGACGTAGAAGACGACATTTATTTTTTTCACTTCTTGTCAGATTTCTAAGAAGTAGAAGAAGATTCGTACGTCAATGCTGTTTAAATAGTAAAAAAAGGTTTCATGGACAGAGAGGCTTCACGGAATAAGATATTAGCAAATATTGAACATACATGTTAAGAGAGAGGCCGCATGCAAATACAGTAATATAATTAATTATCTGCATATTTATCATAAGATGTATCATTGTTTAGAGTAATTTTTCTTTATACATATAAATGTGCGAGGGTCAATTTTTGTGCAAACATGTAAAATTAAAGAAAGTAATTTTGATGTTATCCTGTATGTAATCATTTATCCACATGAAAAGAATACATTTACGAATGCGAAAGATGATATTATTCACATACGTATGCGTACAAGTAGAAGACATTAATTTTATTTAGTGAAGATCAACAATAAGTTCTTAAAATCAATATTATGAAAAGAAATAATTATCACACGATCAGGTGTGAAAACGTGTCTTTCATTTTCAATGATTGAGTGTATATACTATATGTACATTGCGTATTTATTATATTGAAATTTTAATTATACATAAATATGAAAGGAAAAATATGAAAGTTCTGTCTTTATGTTTTATCTCATAATGTGAAATAAATCAATCGTATATCCTGATAAAAAGTCATCATTTTATAATTATCTATTATTATACATATAATATTGAAGTAAAAATATAATAAATATTAAACTATAAAAAAAACATATATAAAAAATTTTTTAACATAGAAACATGAGAGAGTATGTGTCTTATTTTTAGATTATGGGAACATCTGTCGTTTATAAAAATTTATTATTAATTTATTAATTCACTTATAATATAAATTACAATACTGCAATATTGATGCAATATATTCAGTTATAGAGTACTTCAATTAAAAATAACCCGACTTATATATAATCAGTTATTATTGACATCATTATAAAAGCGATGAGTAAATAATTACTTATCTTATATTATCTTTATTTATTACATGCGCTGTTAATTATAGGGAAATTTATTACATTTTACTATTTAAAATAAATATTTGTAAATTATTATAATAAAAAAAAACACTTAACACACTGAGCGCAATGTTATGTGAGATGTTAGAAACTTTACGTTTAATTTATTCTTAACGTAGTAAATATTTTTAAAAAAGGTAAAAAAAGCACCAAAGTGTGCGTATACCTTCCATAAACCCATAAAAAACTGTTACATAAGCTAAAAAAAAACATAAATAATATAATTAAGGCCTTCATTAAGGCCTCGGTAGTCTAAAGGCTTAGGACGCTCGCACGGTATGCAAGAGATCTGGGTTCGACTCCCGGCCGAGGTAATATTTTTCGCAATAAGAATTAATTATTTACAGATTTTAATATGTTATTCACCATTATTAAGATCGTTTCGAAGATGCGAATAAGCATAAAAAATTAATTAAATTGCCAGTCAATTTAACTCGTGATATTACTGCTGTAGTTTAATAGAGTTAGCGTTTCAAGACCGAAAAATCATTTCGGCACGCGTTTCTGGGGACTACATACGTAATATATAAATTCACATAAGAATCATACAAGCATTAAGATCCAGCTAGACCGTTTAAGGCTTTGATTTCTATAGTTTGTTATCACATGTACGGTCCTATAATATATTATATTACAAATAATAATTGACTTAATCACATAGACGTTTGTAAACGCGATTAAAAATTACGTTGAAAATTACGTTGGAGATAAAAATGAGACTTCTATTTTCTTATCATATTCGCAATCGTGAAGAAACTATTAAGTCTAAATTCAACATCGATGTTACCTTGGATTAACAAACCCTGGTTTTATAAATCCAAAATTTTTTAATTGAGATTAGATTACGAACTTACCGGTAGGCAACAGTTTAAAATTCATATCGCGTGTTTTGATAACGGACCGAACTTCTGAGCCAGTAGTCACGTATGAAACTGATTGTGAGATGAGAGTCCATTGAGAGAAAGAAAGAAGTATGTCCAAAAAATATCTATCTCGGGAGACGTGTCGCGGTCGAAGGCCACCCACTATCGTATATATATATAAGTTCAGTGGAACGGAGAATTATCATCAGTCTAGTTCGAGTTATAAGAGTGCAAGCAACACGAAGATACAGCCATGGTCCGTGCCGTAATTTTCCTCTTGCTCATTGTGGCAGTCGCCATCAGTAAGTCTAACATAATAATAATCAAAATTATTAAATATAAAAATTTTTTTCTACGATTATAATTACAAAAGTCATAAGATTTCTTATGACAATAATAATTAAATAATCAGTAAGTTGGGCAATTAGGAATCGGCGCTATAAGTGGTAGGCTTAAATAACTAAAATCATTATAGTTTAATAATATATTTCTACAATTCAATAACGTACGTTTCGGTTAAATTCTAGCCTTCTTCAACAAATAAATTTCCAAAGTTGTGTTTCATTGACTGATGTGTGCGTAGATTCCATTGGCTAATCTCCCATACATTTTTCCATGGCCAGTTGGTGAGCTGGATAGTTTCAAGAAATTAAGATCTTTTGAATATATGATGTGAAGAGTTATCTCAGGAGTCAACGCACGTAGATGTAACAAATAATCCATGTGTAATTAACACTTTAATGTGTATATAAAATTAGAGTATATTATAAGACGCTGATGAAATAAAATTAGAAAACAAACAACGATGTTGATGGTTGCGAGTCTCACAGTAAAATGAAGAATAAGAGACTAAAGTCATATTTGTTTGTCATTTGATGTCAATAATCAGTGATCAGTTAGAATGATCATAGGGATTCAATAAACCTGTGTCTGTTTTTAAATTAATGCCGTCCTTTGGCTTTTTATGTTTATCATTTTTAATTTTATTTCATCGACGTCTTATAACATACTCTAATTTTATATTATATGCACGTTAAAATGTTAATTACACATGGCTTATTTGTTACATTTACGTGACTCCTGAGGTAACTCTTTACATTAATTTATTTCCTTATATTTCATTACTTAACTTATTACAACTAATATTATATTCAAGGTTTTAATTTCTTGAAACTATCCAGCTCACCAACTGGCCATGGAAAAATGTATGGGAGATTAGCCAACGGAATCTACACACACATCAGTCAATGAAACACAACTTTGGGAATTTATTCGCTGAAGAAGGCTAGAATTTAGCCGAAACGTACGTTATTGAATTGTAAAAATATATTATTAGACTATAACAATTTTAGTCATTTAAGCGCACTATTTACAGCACCGATTCCTAATTACCCAACTTACCCAATATTTAATTTTACTACGTTTGATTTTATCTTATGAATCATAACTTATAATAGTATCATAACTTATGATTCATAAGATTGTACAAACGTTAGATTGATGCGTAAGATCGTAAATAATCGAATTTGTTAAATAAAAATACAGTTGAAATTGCAATGACGTTAAAGTGAGATTATAGTCTCTAGCCTCACTTCTTTTATTTAAAAAGTAATCTTTGAATCCTTTATTCAAGAAACTATAATTTACAACTCGAAAAAATAACTCGGAAAACTTATTTATAATACAAAATCTAAAGAAAAAGAACGAATCTTACGAGATAACCTACTACTACTTGATTGATTAACCGATCATTAACGGATAGAATTGTGTACACTGTAAACGTAGAATAAGTTTTCTGATGATAACAAGCATATATAACTTGATAACAGTTATTTTACAGAACTCATTGCAGAAGATATGTTTATGAAGTAGAGAAAGCGCGGAATTAAAGAATATTTTACATAATAACAATATTTTTAAGAATCTTAAATAACGACATATAATTAACCTTTAACTACGCTTGTGCAGATGCTTTACCGCCTAATTGCGGTAAAAACGAATATTTCAATAGCTGTGGTTCATCGTGTCAACCCACATGTCAAAATCCAACACCACAATTCTGTACCCTGGTTAGTATTGCATTCTCTAAGGAAAAACATACATTAAAAAACTTATTAAACAATCTTGTTAAATATTTTATAAAATTTTTTTTATATTGAATTTTTATAAATAATAAGTTTAGTTTAAATTATGTATATTTTTAATAAATAGAATCTATAAATATACTTGAAACTTTAAAATAATCTTGTTTAAATGAATTCTTTGATATATTTATATATGTTTTATTTTAACAAAAAAAAACCAAAAAACCAGGGCGAATGAGAGTCAGCGTGTGTGTGGTAGTTAATAGATAAATGTAATCTTAGAACTTTATTCCAAAAAATATTTAGTACATTTCGGTTTACTTTGGAACTATCCTGAGCAATACAATCTCAAAATATAACTCCTTTCATGTCCAAGGAAAAAATCACCATCATATTTACAATAAAGGTTATAAATTTTAATTGTTCAAGTATGATTTTTGATCCAATGTTTTAGACAAATTTTTTTTATGTTTTGGGATTTTACAACATCAAATCTGTAAATATGATGGTGATTTTTTTCTTGGACATGAAAGGAGTTATATTTTGAGATTATATTGCTGAGGATGGTTCCAAAGTGAATCGAAATGTACTAGATATTTTTTGGAATAAAGTACTAAAATTACATTTGCGTACGAACTATCATGTGCTGATTCTCATTCGCCCTGTTTTTTTAGATTTTTTTGTTGTTGAATTTGGGAGAGTCCATAAGAAGATTACATTATTTTAATGTTTTATTTTGTTTTATAGGCATGTGTTGCTGTATGCGAATGCAAGGACGATTATATAAGAAATGCGGAAAACGAGTGCATACCTACGCACAGTTGTTAATCATTCAGAAAATATGATTTTCCGACGAGTATATTTCGCATCACATAAAATTATATACAAATTTAATAGGCGTTAAAAACTTTCCCACAAATTAGCTTGTTATACAGATCTATAATTGTACTCATTAATCTAAACAATTGTAGTATATTAAATAAGTGTACTGAATTGTTTAATTTTGTAAAGTTAACATTGAGTTTCATGTTTTTAATAAAAAAAATTGGAAATATAAAACTTTGTCATATTCTAGAATCTTACACGTATCCATGATTACAAATTTTATTAATATTATAAATATGTAGTATATTATACACTTTAAATTTAAAAAACAAAAATAATATATACATGAGGAAAGAAATAAATAGGAAACTAAACAGTAAAGATAAATGACAATTTTTTTCATAACTCTCAACAAAGTAATCATAAATAATTTTCTCTTGTGGAGAATATAAATATATAACGTAATAATTCTGATACGTATATATACATATATATTTTTGGTAAATATGCAGATTAGGGGAGCC